AACCTCACAACTGACAATCACATATCAGCAAATGTCAGCACTGAGGTAAGGGGAATACACATCTAACTTGTTTTTCTTTACTTTATTTTTTTTATGAATTTCTTCCCTCAAAACTGGATTTTATGGATATCTAACAGAAACCTTTGGCTTCAAGATGTTTTGATTCCTTGACAATTACTAAAAATGAGTAATTTAATTACTATGTAGAATAACAACAAAATGTAATGCTATTTAACTCAAAAATGTATGACCAATTATTGTATTAAAAATGTAAAAGTTCCCAACACATATAACATATAACATAAAGAATACAAACACAGGAACACATACACAAAGATAAAACAAAAGTGCCACAAAAATCGGACATACCAAAAACAAACGAAAATTAAAAAACAACGATGATAAGAACCTCTTTCTATGAGTGAAACAATGCATTCCTCTTTTGTTCATATTGTGGAAATGTTTCTGTTTATGAAACACAACACACTAAAAAATCTTCCATTTCTGCTCAATAATGACTTATTGACATCAATCCTTCCCTAAAGCAAGGCAACTCTACAAGAAATTTCAACTTCAATCGCTGACTAAACATCAGAAAACTATTTGATCAAAATTTTATGATTTTCATAATGTTAAATGATAGTTTAGGAGCAGAGGACACAAAACAATTGGTCAGTAAAATACATGTTCAATTCCTATAATTAATCTGTAGGTCTTACTAACCTAAACCACAGCTACACACTCACATATCATGGAATTGAAAAGTAAGAACCTTTCAAATAGATAAGAAAATTTGAATTCATGTATTTTTTTCTACCAGGCTTCCAACACCTAACAGGAATAAGATCTTGTTACAATAATGCTGCTGTCTTTAGCCAGATTCAGTTCCCCTTTCTGCATAATATTTTACCTAAACAGACACTCTTGCAAAATATGCACTTTTACAAACCTCACTGTTGATCCAAACCATTCATGCTAGTCACCATAAACAATGTAAAATGCACTATAAAGAATTTTAAAAATTAAAAAGATAAACACTTGATCTTATCTCTACGCAAACACGATAACTCATGCCTTAAAATATTTCTAGTTTTCTTTACTTTTCTGAATGATAGTTTTTGTCTAGTCTATAAAAATCTTTATCTAGTTTCTAACATTTTTATAAAGATTTTAAGATATATTTCATACAGAATACACAGCTAATTTAACTTTCATTTTTTTTTTTTTTTTTCTTCTTTATGCACTTCTGAAATATGTTTTGTAATTTCTTTTATTCAGATCACTCTATGTCACAACAAAAAAAAAAAGTGCCAATTCTCATTCGCTAAAATCAACTGCCTGATTGTTCAAATTTCTTGATATTCACACATTATCCCTTCACTGGCAGTACGTAAATCTTTAATAATTCAGAGTGTCACAATTTAAAGAATGAATTTCTTTGTTTTCTCTCTCTTTATCACACTTTTACTGAAAAATCTGACATTCCTTTCCCGTTCTTCATAGTTTCTTCTGCCTTTAATATCATGTGGAACTTAGGATTGTTGATAAAATATATAATTAATTCCTATTAAATCCATCAGGGATATGAAGTGAAGCCATAAAAATGATGAAAAAAGAAAGAAAACAAAAAATACACTCAAATACATGAGAATTTATAATACAGACACAAACACACACACACACACACACCCAGACAACTGGTATTTAATTTCACATGCACTAAATATTTCATCTGTCTTTCAGTGTCTCAATGTAACATTGCCAAAATTTATTTGAATGCCGACAATACCTATTTTTACAATACAGTTATAACTCGCAAAACAAACCATAACTACAGAGGTCTTAAAACAAGATCATATTAAGAATGAAAATAGCGTTCTCATATAATCCATATCAATGAACAAAATAGTTTTCAAATGATATAATACACTTGATGGTCCTAAAAAGACCTATAATGCCTCTGTCTTCATCTATTACCAGGCAAATGTTACAGCCTTATTCAGAATGCCCCCGCTACACCTGTCTCAATGAAAATATGTAGCAGGAATTAAATGGAATTATTAAATCAATGGAATGTTTCATCTGTCAAGTCACATGATCACTTATCTAGATCATCTTACAACCTCGTGAGTTTGAGACCGAGTGATTCTCTTCAAATTAGATTTAGATATACACATAAATCTAATGAAAAACCTATCTAAATTGCTCTAAAATGGATTTAAATACACGACAAATGCAATGATAGACTTAATAAAACGAGGGTTTGCTGTTCAACATTTCTCTATAGGCAATTGCGTAATACATTCCACTCCCCGTTAATATCATTCTACCCCTTTGAGTGTCCTTATTTCACACTCTACAAGGGGGTACGATGTCAAACAAGGGATAATCCAGATCCAGAAGAAAATAAGAGACCCTGATTTTAATGGATATTCGCGACTCGACAACTCAAGGGAAGAGCAGACGACATCAGCTGACTCATATGACAGCTGTAAACAACTCTATTTTCTCGCCTATTTCCAAATGACACACAGCTTATCACCCACTCACGCTATTCACCATATATTCACACACGTCTTGGACTAGTTTTGAGCTAGGTAATTATGCCTAGGTGTTCATAATTACCGATTTTCTGGCCCACAGGCGTCGCGAACGGATTGCCTCCAAAGAACGACATTTTGAAGTGTGACGTCACTCGCTCATTCACTCTTAATGAAATATTTTTGAAATACTTTTTTTTCGTGTCGTTTCTCTTTCAGTAAAATGCAATGACTCCGCTGCTGATCCAAAGCCAAAGAAATAGACGAATGAATCTCCGTGTGTGTTTTAGTGTAGTAGTATGGTAATATGATATATTCACTTGCGATATATATTTCCGGAAACTTTCACTGGTGTTGCCATTTCGCAATTTGTAAAGGTTATTTACGCATGACTAAAACACGTTCTGATAGCCTTGTACAATGGACGACTGACTGCACTTTAAATACTTACCGGAAAAGACACTGTATCTGTCTCTGTCTGTCTGTCTCGCTTTCAGTCTCACTGTCTCATTGTCTATCTGTTTGTGTCAGTCTGTTAGTTTATCAGTCTCTGTCTGTCTGCCTCTGTCTCTGTCTCTATTTCTTTCTGTTTCTGTGTCTGCCTCTGCCTCTGTCTCTGTCTCTGTCTGTCTGTCTGTCTGTCTGTCTGTCTGTCTGTCTGTCTGTCTGTCTGTCTGTCTGTCTGTCTGTCTGTCTGTCTCTCTCTCTCTCTCTCTCTCTCTCTCTCTCTCTCTCTCTCTCTCTCTCTCTCTCTCTCTCTCTCTCTCCTTTATGTACATGTGTATGTGCGTGCGTGTATGTGTGTGTGTGTGCGTGCGTGTGCGTGCGTGTGTGTATGTGTGTGTGTGTGGGTGTGGGTGCGTGCGTGCGTGTGCGTGTGTGTTTGTGTGTTTACTTGCCTTTATCTCTGTGTTCTTATCCAGGAAATTCTCTCATATATAATCCCTAGTTAAGGTTTATTATCAAAAGTATGGATTAATAAACTGGGACTCTAGGCTTGTAGGAATTAATATCCTAATAGTTTTTGTGCCTTTTTTTTCGGTCATCATCGTGAAATATGCGTCATGCTTGTATTTCTCACCATTAGCCCATTTTTATCGAGTATTCGCAGCATCTAATAAGATTTTAATGCTGAAGTATATTCGATGAATGCATTATATTCATTATCATATCTGATTTATTCCCAACAATAAATACTGCATCCTTATAACGTATGTAAGTGTTTCGCTCAAGGAGTATGTATATATTTAGTCGCCCCGCCGGCGTCCGTCAAGATAAGGGCTTAGTGCAAAGACTTCAAATTTTTTATTCATTTATTTCAACTTACAAAAATACAGACATAAAACAAGAAATGTCAAAATTAATATATTCATTCACAACCTGACGTATAACGTATCTTGACAAGGATACACGTAGAATATGTGAACGATCTCAATGTAAAATTAAAGTTTTTTTTTCTCCTAGAATCACTATGCGTCACGCTCAGCGCTGGTCCACAGGTGGTACGCATCAGTTTGTCAGCACCGGCCACTCAGTTCCCGTTGCTGCTTATAGGGTGTATGGGAGAACAAGCCATGGAAATTCTGTAATTCGTAATAATACAATGATTAAAAATATGTAAGACTTATAGATTTGGAAATCCTCAGTACACGGGTGTGTATATATACACATCCACACCCATATATACAGTGCGTGTTTTTATAGGCAATGTACATTTTATTCAAACACACATTACGCTCTCTCTCTCTCTTTCTCTTTCCCTCTCTCTTTCTCTCACCCCCCTCTCTCTCTCTCTCTCTCTCATTTTCGCCTCCTTCACTCTCTCTCCCTCTCTTTCGCCTCCTTCACTCTCTCTCCCTCTCCTACTTCCCACCCTCTCCCTCGCCTCCTTCCCTCTCTCTCTCCCGCCTTCTCCCCCCCCCCTCTCCCTCGCCTCCTTCCCTCTCTCTCTCCTGCCTTCTCCCCCCCTTCTCTCTCCTGTCTCCTCCCTCTCTTTCTCCTATCACCTTCCCCCCCCTCTCTCTCTCTCCCGCCTTCTCCCCCCCCTCTCTTTCCTGTCTCCTCACCCTTTTCTCTCTCTCCTGTCTACTTCCCCGCCCCCCCTCTCTCTCTCCTACCTCCTCCCTCCCCTCTTTCTCCTGTCTCCTTCCCCCTCCCCTCTCTCTCTCCTGCCTCCCCCTTCTCTCTCTCTCTCTCTCCTGTCTCCTTCCCCCCTCTCTCTCCTGTCTCCTCCCCCCCCCCATCTCTCTCCAGGGAATGCCCTTACCTGTTAGTCATGCAAAAGTGGCATGGCGTCGTACACAAGCTGCCTCTGTCTCGCCGTGAGGGTCGTAATTTCCTCAACTCGACTGCGATGTCTTGCCCACTCCATCCTGCGAAAAAGAAATTATTATTATTATTTTTTTAATATATAATTTCACGACTGAGGACTTTGTAGAGGATTTCCGAGAGCTTGATTATTTCCCCCCCAGTTTACATTCTTCGGTTCTAGCAGGAATACGGTAATGATAAAATTCATTCCTGTGAATTAAACTAATGCATTACTTACACATTGTCGAATATCCACTTGGTTTTACAGTTTTGTTAGTTATAGTATTAGCAGGAGTGACAATATTATCATTATTAGTGGTATCACAATTCTCTTTATCAATATCACTATTGCAGTTTACCAGTGTCATTACTATTCTTTACCATCATATCACCATCATCATCATAATTACCATCATTATTATCATTATCTATCTTAGCATAACAATATCCCACTTTTACCTAATTTAAGCATAATTTTTGAAGCTCTTTTTCCCTATGGCCTAGACGGCAGAAACAGGAATATGACGTCACACGATGTTATTATCACAAAAGGAAAACTTGATGACGATAATAACAAATATAGAAATTTATTAACAAACACAATTGCCTTACAGTGATAATAAATAATAATAATAATAATTGTATGCATGTATTTCTATTCTTCTCTTCTCCTTATTTCCAATTAATTTCATTCATCAACCTGATAACTAATTACCATTAGCAATGCTCTCTCTCTCTCAACAAAAGGAAAAAAATGACAATACTCTTTCATGATGAACTAATACTTCGTTAGCAAGAGTAATCTAAACAATATGAAAACAAGCAAACAATCTGCAAACAGTAACACCAAAAGCAATACCCGAAGCAAATGATATATATGATTGTGTAAACAAACCTGTGCATATTATAATGGTAGTTATTTATCACTAAAACTAAGAACATACTCATGAGTATATGGTATCCGGCCGATGAATAAAACTATAGCTATTCAAGCAAGCAGTTACTGTTTTAAGCACAGGCGGTGTAAATAACCTACGTATCTAATTTAGTGCAACAAGTAGTCTTTTGACCACGTGTTGAACTAAGCCTTGTCCGACGTGGGCTAGCTGGCAAATCAAAAATTGTTTCCTAATTCTGTGCATGTGTTCTATCACTTGTAATGGCTTGTATTTCTCGACATTATACTTTATACATAAGAATGCTTTACAATGACAAATCTATATTTGTGAAATGGATGGCGATGACCAAAAATTACAATCATATGAAATGCGTATCTTGCGATCAGATTAGGTATAAATAAGTACTAGTATAAATATACACTATGCACATAATGAATAATATTTGTATATTTTCAAATATCTACTTTCTACACATATTACTATATACATACATATATACATACATACATATATATATATATATATATATATATATATATATATATATATATATATATATATATATATGTGTGTGTGTGTGTGTATGTGTATGTGTATGTATGTGTGTGTGTGTGTGTGTGTGTGTGTGTGTGTGTGTGTGTGTATACATCAACCTATAAAGATGTATGATCATTATCATTATTATTATCATCAACCTCATTTCCATTACCACTGCCATCATATTTACACGGTTTATGGCGTGAATATAAATTGAACTGAAGTCGAAATCATTTGGAATTTTCCTTTTTTAACATATATATGTATATATGCACATACGTTTGTAAATATGTATATATATTTGTATATATGTATGTGTGTGTATAAATATATATTGCATTTTTAAAACAATATTTCGGATTTATAACTGTACTAAAAGAATAATGGTATTGCAATTATTTTGATAAGAAAATAGTATTCATTTGCATTCATTATCATATAGATAATATATTAGTCATCATAAAGTATAGCTACAATCATAAAATAACATGCATTATACATATACCATTCATGAAATTAACAATTTTTAACATCAAAATAATATAGGAACCAACTTAACCTTGTACTTGGCGATTTGAATTACACCACAAAAAAATACCTTGTAATTGTTGAGATAGAAATGATAAGCATTTAAAAATACAAGGACGTATACTTTAGCACATTGTATTGTTGGGATAAAATAACATGTAAATAAAAAAAATACAAGGACGTGCATTTTAACAAGAAAGCACGTTTTATAAATTCTTCCCACGAGTCACTTCACAAGCCGGGGGGGAGCTGTTATATTTCTTCCTCGCCTTCCTTTGTTCTCTCTAATTTTCCCCCAGTCTGATTCCGTTAACGAAAAAAACGACAAAACACACACCGGTGTCTCGCGTCCAGCCAACCCCACACAAATATCTTCCTGTTAGCTTTCTCTCCCCAAAACGTTTCCACTGCTTTTAACTGCGCGGTACAAAAGCTCATTCACTCCCTGCATTTACATATATTTTTTCCATAGGGCAAACCGCCTAATGTTCTTACTACAGACCAGGAGAGAGTGAATGTAGTTCGTGATGTCGTAGCTGCGTCGAGGGTAAGTGAATGTTACGCTAGTGTGATTTTGGAATGCGTAGAATACTGTTACTGTTGTAGATTACAATATGTATTCCTACTTCTCCTTTTCCAAATTTCCTTTTTTTTTCTTTTTGTTTAGCTTGATTAACATTAAGTATTCGTATAATGTTCATTATTCTTACACATTCTCAATTTAGCTAAAGTGCTGTCTTCATGTCCATAACATTATTAATTTCTGATTTCGGGGTTCGTTTTCACTGCTTTGTACATCATTCGAGTTGCATTGAATATTATAACTTAGACTCTGGTGTAATAATGACTGGGTATATATAAATTCTGTATAATTTCACAAAAGATGATTTCACATGATATCTTGATACACTACACTTCAGTAAAAGACATATTCTACCTAACGTCTACGCCTGAAAGTAATAGACATGTATTCTGAAAAGTTAACAGCTAGAGGAACGTCGTGCATTGCATGTGTATATCCGTCTAGGTGTATGTGAGTGTGCGCGTGTGTGCAAGCGTGCGTATGCATGTCGCAAGCATGGAGGGAGTAAGGCGGCTTCAACTTTCCCTAAGCCCGGCAGTCTAGCGAGAATATGACAGATGCTTATTTTATCAGGGTCTAAAACTGATGCTTTAGGGTTCGAAACTGAAGTATTCATAACTGATCGAAACAGGATTCGCTATATAGAACACGGCCCTACTTCATGACAACACTTACTTCTCAATATGATTCAAAGTGTCTGTGAGCCACTGGTGAAGGTGGTCTTGCAGGTCACTTTCCCTGGCATCTATAAGGGCCAAGTGACGGTCGTGAATCCCCGCCAGCGCCGCCGTCAGGGTGTCTCCGCCTTCGAACACCTTGGCTGCCCTTGGGTCCGCTCCTTCGAAGCTCACGCCGCCACTCTCAACGACCTGGTGTAGTGAATCCGAAAAATAACATTGATAAGGGTAATAATGGTGGTGAAAATTATTATAATGATAATGATGATGATGATGATGATGATAATAATAATAATGATAATGATAATGATAATGATAATGATAATGATAATGATAATGATAATAATAATAATAATAATAATAATAATAATAATAATAATAATAATAATAATAATAATAATAATAATAATAATAATAATAATAACAACAACAACAACAACAACAACAATAACAATGATACTACTACTATTACTACTAATAATAATGATACTGCTACTACTATTAATAATAAAAATAACAATTACAACAACGGAATAACATTAACAACAGCAATAAAACAACAATAAGTTTGATAACAGTAAATGATAATGACCGTGGTTATGATAATAATAAAAGTGAGAATAAGTATAATAATACACAGGACTGGACACCATGAATCAAACTAGCGAGAGAAAAAAACACGTGAAACTAAATTGATTAGATGCAAAAAATTATAGTAATATATCACAGTACTGAACATTATGAAAAAGTTACACCGATAGAAAGCAAAACCGTTCTTAGTATGAGTCAAAATGTACAAATATGAATTTTATGCAAATCGTGTACTGGTTTGTACTGCTGTTTGAGTTCATTCTCACGTTGAAACTAAGCGAATAGTTGAATTTTAGTTCACGGCAATAAGCTGGTTTCTTTCTATTTCCATATGGCTTTTTTCACCGTTTCTCCCGATTCACTTGAATTTCATTCTTTACTAAAATCATCTTCCGACCTATTCCATACAAAAATCTTAGCCACATTAATAGACGCAGTAAAGTAGCTCATTGAAACGAATTAAGTACAGCTAGGGGAAATAATAGAGACGAGGAAGACAACAATAAACCAGGATATCCGGTGTTGCGTGTGTCTAAACGGAACAAACACAGAGACCATTTAACTAGCTTTAACAATGACCAACTTTCCTATAATCGTTAAATATTTCAAGTATACAATCTTTCTTAACATGTCTTCTTCATCTTATTTATAAACATGTCTGTATTCAGCGCTTGCTAACATGCCTGTGGTAAATATTAGCTTGTGGTAAATATTAGCTCGTGTCTAAATCAAACATTTGTAAACAAGTCTAATGATTGGCCTTACTTACCCACTTTGTTTTCATCAAATAACATCCATGTTGTTTCTTATCAAGGCTTGGTAGACGTGATTGGAATGGGAAAAGCTAACTCACTGTTGCTATTGATAACCTAAACTTGTAATATCTAGCTGTGAAATGTGATAATGACGAATGAATGACATTGCTCATTTAAAATATATTATACCCTACAGAGTACGAGTACTTCATTCCAACTGTAACGGAATTACATAAAATAATTCACATGTTCTCTCTATAAAATTTCTCGCGTATCAGATGAGTCATAATTATATACTTTCACATCATGGTGACTTACATTGACACCAATCAGGATCGAACAACCAAACCCATATTTTTGATTTTCAAATGTGTCTTCCCGGCCAAGGCGTACAGCGGAAATTAGACCGGAACTACACAGTTACATACTTGTTAACCATATCTCCGGTACTATACTGAGGAACACACAGGGATTACATTGTTAGGTTTAAACTAGATGCGCTTAAAACCTTATATTCAAAACATGTATTTGCATGTATTTGACGCGGTTATCTTAAACGATCAACTTAAGCACTGGTTTA